AACCACCAAACTGGATCTGCAAAACTTCTCACGTACCGTTGGATTCACGTTAATATTCGACGCACGCTTCCATCAAGGTGACCCAATAAGACACTTCGCAATTAGGCAAATGAATTTCTATACTGCTCACCCTGCATTCTCAAATGTCATGTTTACTTAGTCATTAGCATTCCACACCTCACATAAACATCTAAACTTTGTGGCTTTGTCTCATTATTTACTGCTTTCAAATGGATCAATGCTGCGTCTATCTTCCACGTGCCTCTCTGGGCTACAAAGGAACCACCCGCCGACCTGCTCCGGCTGTCCCTTGTTATTTGGCTGTGGAATAATGCGTGCTCCGAAATCAAAGGTAAATAAGTGATTAGTAGTCCTATCAGACGAAGAAGGCAGGCTCTACAGTATGTCCAACGAAAGACTAAAAACAATGGATAATTAGGTCCAGCGTGTCCCATTTACTCATAATTAAATGGGACAAAGTAAATATGCTTTTTTGTCTGTATTCATATACGATCTTAGACAAAACTTTTATTCCAATCACTTCTGAAAGGCTACTACTCTTAAACTTCTGTGTACTTCTCTGCACTCGGACAAGCACTGAAAAAAAAGTTCAGACTGACTATGGAGGATGGACCCACATCAAAACAGGAAAACCATGTGGATCACAGGAGCAAAAAGTGTCTGCAGAAAAGAAAAAAAAATCAATTCATATTTATCAATTCATATTTGAGAAGTCAGCAATGATTGTTTGAGGTGGAATTGAACAGTTTGTTGACTTTGGTTAAAATCATGCACAAAAATCTTATGAAAGATTAAAAATTATGAAAATGACGGGATATTTTATCCTCTAACTTATAAATCATGAATAAAATGCCTTGTGATGTGTTTAGGCATATTGTTTAATCTTGTTTAATATCCATCCATCCATCCATTTTCTACCCTTTAATCCATTTCTGGGTCAGGGGGGTGGCAGTCAGAGATGCCACCCAAGTCTCATAGCACCAGCCCCTCACTGACCCTCTGCATAGCCTTGATCTTTCAGTGGGGGCTTTGGGCAAAGTGGGGTTAAGTGTCTTGCCCAAGGACACAACGACAGCAGTCATCAGTGGGAGTCGGTGGAGAAGGTGCAGAGGTGGGAATTGAACCCACGACCTTCTGGCCTTAACCCTTGTATTATGTTAAGGGTCAATTTGACCCATTTCAGTTTTTTTGTTGATCAAAGTACTGGTTATCCTTTCTTTTTCTTGCTGAAATTTGGTGACTTTTCCTCATCTAGGGTCATGAACTGGTGTGTAAAATCTGGACACTTTGATGTGTAGTGGAATGTCTGTGCAGAGTTTGTATACAAAGATGATGTTGCGGGTCATTTTGACCCAGACGCTTTAATGTGGGTAAATAGTTGTTCTGATCAAAAAAAACATGTCTCTTTGACATTGTATTTTGATTGCCTCTGAGACTCAGAGCCAGGTGTGTGAAGAGAGGGAACTTTCTCACACTTGTTCTTGTCACTGTTCTCATGTCATCTCTTTTGCCTAGCGTACATCGGACTGGCAACTGATTATATCCATCGCCTTTGAGTTGCTGCCCCGCACACATCGACAATCTGGCAAAAAACGGGCACCTCCTAGTAGCAGATCAGTCTCGGGAATAACAGCGCGTACATCGACAGCAACTGGCCTCAACTACAGTGTGTATTCTGACATAAACTGTAGAGGGCGCAATACACACAATGCGCACATGTTGTTGGAGCGCGCCATGGATCTATTAGGAGCGCGCACATCGGGTCATATCTCCGAAACTGAGGACAACTAGTTGCCGAAAAGTAGAACACAGGCAACTGACTGAAACTGGAGATCGACTGTTTATCTCCAGTTGTAAGAGCACTCACATCGACCGATTTCAGCAACTGATCATCTCCATCTACTCTCAGTTGCCAAAAGCCGCCTTCAACTAGTTGTCTCCAGTTACTCTGTCGATGTACGCTAGGCTTTAGACAAACTCACCAAAAATGATCTCCAGAAGGATGACATCTAAGGAGGCTTTATCACAGATTTTTAACTGGGATAATGATGTAGAGGAAGAGATTTCAGAAACAGAGGATTTTTCAGAGACAGAGGACAGTGTTATTGCTGATCCAGATTGTCAATTTTCCTACGATAAGGAGGTTTCAGAGGACGAATCTTTGGTCAAAGAAGAGGAAGGGAGGAAGAAAGGAAGGTAGGAAGGAAAGAAGGGAGACAGGAAGGAAGGAAGAGTAAAGAAGATAATAGAGGAGGATATACATAGAGAAGGAAAACAGGATGAGAAAAAGGAAGGAGAAAGCATGGAAGGAGGAAAGAAGGAGGGAAGAATTGTCATTCTTGCCCTCCTCCTGAGAGGAGGGAAAGAAGATTAGACAAAATAATTCTTAAATATAGCGTTGGAATGAAAAATGTATTGTATGTCACTTTTCTAAATATTTATATAACCTAAAATAAAGTTGTTATTGGTTTAACCTGTTTTTTTGACTGTTTTGAGTGCATTTACACAGTACGGGTCAAAATGACCCGCAACATAATCAATGTCATTTTTTTTCAACATAATACAAGGGTTAAGGCCAATGCTCTACCAACTGAGCTACTGTCACCCTACTGTCGCCCTCTTGTTTAATATACACTAGCTAATCTTTCTGGCTTTTAATTTTAATTTTATATCCATTTTTATCATATATCCGCTCTCCCTTGCAGTAAGTCTGTAATCACAATCAAGGTAAAGAATGTCTCCTAAAATTACAGTTATTGTTTTCAAAAATGCTCCTGATTCAGGCACAATCAGAGTAAAATGAAGCTCTTGCCTCTGCAATTATCGTCTTTTCTCCTCACCCCTTGTTCTGTTCCCATTTCCTTTTTAATGTCTAATTAATCCATAAATGAAAAATAAAACGGATGCCTCATTAAATTGGAGATTTATGTGACGAAGCTTTGCCCTCAATGTTCAGAGCGGCAGAACTAATTATCTTTATATCATCTTTAAAGCGCTCATTCTGACGCGTCATCTCCTCCGTCTGTGATATTGCTGTAGTTTGAATTTATGCCTCCTGTATCTATAGACTTGGAAAACATACATCTAAATCATGGAAAAGTATCAAGCGCTAGCAGACAAAGGGGATGACTCAGCCTCTTCATGAGCTCACAGAAAGTGGTACTAAAAGACAATCAAAATGTTGAATTATGTCATGCACACAGGGGATTATCTGACATTGATAATAAAGAACAAGAAAGGAGGATGGCAATTAGAAGTTATCATAGTTCTTATACAACGATTGCAAATGTTATATTCCTAATAATGTCCATTGCTTCTTCATAAAAGTGGTTAAACAGAACAATTCATACTCAAATGTAATATGTTGTGTATTGTCATGTCCACATTAATAAAGTGCACCTTTACCTTTACCTTTACAATTGAAATATTTAAACGCCTACATGAATAAAAAAAAAAGTAAATCAAAAAATCAATAAATGGCAATGCATTTCACCTTGGGAGAGTATTATACTCTTTATATCACTTGTAAATCTACACACAATTCAGATGAATCCAATTTATTTTTGTAGACCCCGCAATCACAACTGCAGATGTCAGAGAGGACTTTACAAAGTTGTTGATTCACCAACAACACAGAAAGATAACAGAGAGAACCAAACAGTTCAATGCAATAATAAGAACAAAATAGGAACCATTGGTGCATAGGTAATTGTCCCAGATCACTACTGTCCTTAGAACCCCCTGCATTAAGGAACAAAGAATAAAAATGCATAATAGTCCACTCAGCATCCTCTCATTTGTGACCAGTGGGTCTTATTCATTATTAACCAGCCAGAGCCACTTAAGGAAACAATTGTTCACAGATCCCAGAGGACAAGAACAGCGCTACAGGAATGTCCGGACCTAATTAACACAATCTTATTCAAATAATCTATAAATCCACTGAAGTATAGAAAAAAAAATAAAGTGAAATGAACCGTAAAACTGCAAAAATACCCAACCCATAATTTGAAACCATAGAGGAGTTGAGTGACCATTAGTCTCAGAGACAGATGCAAATAGCTAATGATATCGGATTTAAACTGGTTAGGGTCCGTGGCACCAGCCCATCTATTGAAATTACGCACATAAATGTCACTTTGCTGATCATGTAATTCAATCTGTAAAGACATAGACAGACAAGAGGAGGAATTAAAAAATATGCTCATTGGCACATACATTGACCTGACCTAGAATGAGTCTTGTGTGCGTGAAATGATGGTGGTGATCTGGGGGGCCGATGCCACATACTGGTTTTAACGCTTCTGTCAGTGTGCCTCAGGGCAGCTGTGGCAATAGCAGTTGTTTATCACCACTGTGTATGAAGTCAGAGAATAATGAAATGTGAAGCATCTTTGAGTGTCAAGAAAAGCCTTATATAAAACCAATAGATTTTTTTGTTCCCTTCTGTGAATACAAGACAGATATACAGGCGGCACGGTGGCTGAGTGGATAGCACTCTCGCCTCTCAGCAAGAAGGTCCTGGGTTCGAATCCCTGTCGGACCAGGGCCTTTCTGTCTGCATAGGTTACTCTGGTTACTCCGGTTTCCCCTACCACTAAAAATATGTACAATATGTCTGGCATGTGCCTCCTGTACTGGAGACAAATGCCCAAAAAATAACAATTGTAAACCGCTTTGAGACTCAGATCTGCAGTGAAAAGGTGGTATATAAATAAAGACTACTACTACATACAGAAATACTTATGTGACTAGGTAAACAAATGAAATTAAATATTACATTCATATTTTTAAAAATTATATTTTTTATGCATACATATTAATACATTTTCCCTTTTCACAGAACAACACAGATATTTAATATGTTTTTGCACACGGCGGCGCTGTTTTTTTGTACAACACTGCTTATTTCGTCACTTCCGGTTGTTAGCGGAAGTCCCAGTGTTTATCTGGCGGTGTGGACATTCGTGGGAGCAACGATGGCTACCGCTGCAAAACAAGCCCCAAAAACTGGCTCCAAATCCTCCGCAGGGGCCTCGGGGGCGGCTGCTACCCCCGCGGCCCCTCCGGTCATCCCGCTGGCCTCGCCTCTCATGGGGAAGAAGAAGAAGCCGTTCCTGGGGATGCCCGCGCCGCTGGGATACGTGCCTGGTCTGGGAAGAGGGTAAAGCATTAGCACATCAAGCTAGCAGACCGTAGCCTACACATGCATGGAAGTATTTGTGTTAGCTTTGTAAACAATTGATTGCATGTCATTTCCGTGGCTTTGGGGAGGAATTTTAACTTTAATAACCACAACTTAATGAGCTTGATTTTAATTGTGCACTAGTCCAGCCAGCCCAAATTGATTGTGTCCGTCCCTGCTTTGTATGGGTTGTATCATGTTATACGTTAGATTAATTTGTTTGTGTATTTGATAGAGCCAATGCATATTATTGAGCATCTGAAAATAATACATATTCCAGAGCATAGTTACAAAGCTTGCATAGTTCTCATCCGTAGTCCCTCGTTAGGCAAATGTATAAATCACAAAATACAAGGCAGGTGGCAAAATGAAATGTTAAGTCTAGTGTTGTCACATGACTGGTTTGTTTGGGGAAGAAACATAGTACACCGATTTGGAATAAATTGAATTACGAGTTTGCAGAAACAAATTGTGTAAATACCCTACTATGGGTCTAATAAAAGCATTCATTTTCTTTTCTAATTAGGATTGCTTTTTACCATTGTTATTGTGTGTTAGATACAATACTTTACTCATGCATCCCAATAGCTGCAGTCATGTTCACGCCTCATACACATCGAGTGTCACATGTAGGTGGTAGTACTTATACATACCTGTTACTAGCAACACATGGATCAACTATTTAAAAAATAGTAATATTCAGATATAATGTAAAAGAAATGTGATAATTATAATTTCTTATTTTTCTATTTGCTACGACCTTCAAAACTGCTTCAGAATATAGTGAAATATTTCAATATCGTCTCTGCAATTTCTATGAAACATTGATGTTTGGCTTTAATGTTAGTTTGCAATGTAAACATTTGTTCAATATCAAATAACTTTAATGTCTCTGTATCTAATTTTTTTGTCCTTTACAAAACTCGCTCAGTCTTCCTACAGCAAAGCAACTTTGTTTCTCTTTCTAGTGCAACTGGCTTCACCACTCGGTCTGATATCGGTCCCGCTCGAGACGCCAATGATCCGGTGGATGATCGCCATGCTCCTCCTGGGAAGAGGACAGTTGGGGACCAAATGAAGAAAAGCCAAGAGGAGGATGAAGAAGATCTCAACGACACAAACTATGACGAGGTAACAACCATAACGCAACTTATTCATTACCGATTTGGCTCTGTAGCAGTTCAACAAAACCCAAACATATTCCTTCTTTAGTTCAATGGATACGCAGGCAGCTTGTTTTCCAGTGGGCCTTATGAGAAAGACGACGAGGAAGCAGACATGATCTATGCCGCTCTAGACAAAAGGATGGATGAAAGACGGAAAGAAAGAAGGTAAGAACGTATCAAGTGCAACGTTTTATGTAAAGTAAATTAACCTACGTCAAAATTGTTTTTAAGGGAACTGAGAGAAAAAGAAGAAATTGAGAAATATCGTATGGAGCGTCCCAAAATCCAGCAGCAGTTTTCAGATTTGAAGGTTTGTTGCAGTTTTATTTAGTTAAGTCTCTCTCCAAAATGATTATTCTTGTCTCTGGGTCTCATCCTGTCTTTGTTCAGAAGCCTTGTGTCTGAAGCTTGTGTGTGTATAAATGTTTTCTATATCAAGTGGTTTATGAAGAACAACTTTTGGTTCCAACATTCAGAATTTTGCATGCTCAAGCTGTCGGGAATGAGGCAGTACATAATACGTACTAGGAATTCTCATTACCCGTACTAGGTAATGGGAATTCTTTACAAGAAGAAATTTCTGCTTACATTTGAATAAAGCTCCCAAGTCTGACTTTTTGGATTGAATTTACGTGGTCTTTGGAATTACGTGAACTGTTTGGTGGCCTTGAGGGCTTTTTCGATTGTTTTAGGGTGATCTCTGCACAGACGTCTTTGGGAATAGCTGCTCTTGATCATTTTTCTGATCAATATTTGTCTTGACATATTTTACAGTTTCTAACCTGAATTCTTTTAAAATCACAGAGGAAGTTGTCAGAGGTGTCAGAGGAGGAGTGGCTGAGCATCCCTGAAGTGGGAGATGCCAGAAACAAGCGCCAGAGGAACCCTCGTCATGAGAAGCTCACCCCGGTCCCTGACAGCTTCTTCTCCAAACACTTGCAGACCGGACAGGACCACACGAGCGTGGACCCTCTGCAGGGGGTAAGTGCCGCAAGAGGTTTAATGCTGAAAGAATGACTCCATCAGTGACTGTACAGTTCAGTGACATACAACATCCTATCAAATCACAATGCACTCGATGTAGTTCAAATTCATGCCAGCAGGAGTCAGTAAAATTCAATGTCTTTGAAAGTAGTAGTTGTATTTTTATTATAGTATTATAGTAATTTTTAAAAAAAAAATTTTTTACATGCACATATAATTCAAGAAAGAAAGAAGGCTCAAAAGGAGAAGGAAGAAGCAATAAGCTTATAAATGCCTTCACCATTATCAAATATTTATTTAAGCGGCTGCAAAAAGATTTACATTTTCACATGACATTCCTGATTTTTACCATAATTTTTATCTTGTTGATGCAAACAAACAAAAATAGCAATACTTATGAATGTATGTTCCATTGCTCATCGCAATAATACATATAATCTTTATTGTTTGTATAACGTGTGGTGCATTGAGAGCTGGAGCCAGCCCTCTCTGTGTCTGTGCCTATTCTGTGGAGTGCATTAAAAAGACAAGGCTTTATGGACCTATTGGAGGGAGGGTTCCTCTATCTAACAGATCCACAACATGTCTACCCTCTATAGCTGCAACTAACGATTATTTTGTAATCGATTAATCTATCGATTATTTTTACGATTAATCGAGTAATCGCTTGGCTGTGAATTGTGTAGAAAAAAAATATTTTTTCATCACAAAAAGCTAAAGTGGCAACACTCGAGGACGTATTGATGGCGTAAACTTAAAGTAAATGTTTGTAACAGGCTCTTTGTGCTAATTCTGCTATCTGATTGGATGAGACAGACAGATATTCATGAAATTATAAAAACAAAGTCGGTTTTAATCAAAAATACTACATTTTCATGTCATTTTTGCTCTGTTTGAGTCCGTGTGAACCAGAAAACGATTAATCGATTACTAAAATAGTTGTCGACTATTTCAATAATCGATTAGTCGTCGATTAATCGATTAGTTGTTTCAACCCTACTACCCTCAAAGTTTTTGAATTCAGGGATACAACAAATTTGTCTGAGAGATGTGTCTCTTTTAGTAGGGGTATGTGATTTAAAAAAAAAAAATAATAATAATATCAATATTTATGTGGTATTATTCTACAATCTTATCTTTTCTCAATTATTGTTTTAAGTTCATAGAATATTTTCAATATTTAATCTTTAATGATTTGAATATAAATGCACCCATTTTTGTTAAAATGGGAGTATTAGGTAAGGGGCCAAAAAGACTATTTGTTGTTGTATATATATGAAAGCTCTACTCATTGTGTAGCCATATTCACACACACAAGTTTTGAGACAATATTGTTTGAGCCACATTATTTTGAGCACTTAATTACTATGATTTCTCAAACTATTTACATATTGAATTATATATGAAAATGTATGATCATGTCTTCTTAAATGCCACAAAAGGATGTAATATACATTTGAAAACACTTTCATGTGGTTTCCTTTCTGTAAACAAACCGTTTTTGTTTGACTAGCTTGGAGGACTGAACACTCCGTTTCCTGGCGGCATGACTCCTGCTTCAGGAGATCTGGACATGAGGAAGATCGGTCAGGCCAGAAACACTCTGATGGACATGAGGCTCAGCCAGGTGTCCGACTCGGTGAGCGGACAGACTGTGGTGGATCCTAAGGGCTACCTCACTGACCTGAACTCTATGATCCCCACACACGGAGGAGACATCAGGTAGATGCTGTCTTTATGGATTCATCTGTGTCATTGTAAGCACATTCTCACGCTGTATATTAATGTGAAACTAGTGATATTAAAAAAGCCAGACTGCTGCTTAAGTCTGTGAGGGAGACCAACCCTCATCACCCTCCCGCGTGGATAGCATCTGCCAGACTGGAGGAGGTAACGGGGAAACTTCAAGTGGCCAGAAACTTGATTATGAAGGGCACAGAGATGTGTCCTAAGGTAAGAGATTTCATAATGATTTAAATGGAACTTTGGAGTTGTTATGCCTCTAACTACACTTGTATTTCCTAGAGTGAGGATGTGTGGCTGGAGGCTGCCAGGCTGCAACCAGGCGACACGGCCAAGGCTGTGGTGGCTCAGGCAGTTCGCCATCTTCCAGGGTCAGTGCGAATCTACATCAGAGCTGCTGAGCTGGAAACTGACGTCAGAGCCAAGAAAAGAGTCCTGAGAAAAGGTGACCACAACTTCAACATACTTTAATGATCCAATAAGGAAATTATTATATATCAAATTCTTGTTTATATAATATGCAGATTTGTAAAACCACAAAGTACTTTCTGTTAAAAATGGTGTCATGGTTTCCAAACATTCGTAAGACCAAAACATTCTGTACTTGGCTCTCGCCCAAAGATCTGTCATGTGAATATCATATTATGCAGGAGTAAATCTGTTTTTCATTCAACACCACATATGAACCGTGGTATCATTGCCTCAACACAACACACTTTCAAATTCACACTACTTATTCCCAGCAGCATACTCCTTTGACAAAGATGGATAGGCAGCTTCCTGCGATAGTCATTTCTCGCCTCTACACGTTTTCGCCATGGCAATCTCTCAAGGGCTTTCTGTAAATACATTGTTTTGATTCTAACCAAGGGGATTAGCCGGTATTCTATGTGACACAGTTGTTCTGTTAATGGGTGCCATCATAGACTGTATAATGGGAATGAGTAGAGCTAACATGGCTAGTAATTGGGATGTGGTCTTCTCCTACTCTCCTTGGTTCTTGTTCACTTTCTTTTTATTTTTTATTTTTTTTTTATTCATTTATTTGACAGGGACAATGTAGTCATACATAGTTACATTATGAAAATGCAGCTGATGCGACACATACAGAGTGTATAGCTAATGCTAATTTTCAACTCCTGTCCCTGGTTGAGCTTTTCCCTACAGTGCAACACATTATACAGAATGAATAAAATAGGCCTAGCCCTAAAACACATATTTACAACAGTGATCTAAAATTAAGACATTCCCCCAACCAATAACAGCCATATGGGCAAAATATTCACAAACGAGAACACTCACACACACACTCACGTACACACACACACACACACACACAAACCCAAAATACTGTTTACAGGTTTAGAAATGGGTGCATGATTGGTTTGTTTTCAGCCACAGCTTGAGCTTTGAGGTGAACTCCTTGAATTCTAATATGTTTTTTAGTTCAGTGGGCAGCGAGTTCCACAGTTTGGCCGTTTTTATGGAGAAAGCAGACTGACCAAATGAGGTTCTCCTGTGTGGAATTGCACAGTTGTTGTGGGATGTACTTCTGGTGACTCTGTTGCTGGTCTGTCTCTGTATAAATGAACTTAGTGGCTCTGGTGCCAGGTTATTGATGCATTTGAATGTTAGTTTTAGAGAGTACAATAATATAAAATTTTCAAAACTCAGTAGATGACAGTTTTTGAGTATATTGCAGTGGTGATATCGGGTTGGTTTCTTGTCCATAATTTTTATTGCTTGATTGTATAATGAGCCGATGCACTTTGTGGCTGAGGGAGCTGCCTGGGTCCATGCTGTCATGCAGTATGATAAATGGGAGAAGATCATCCCATGCATGTACAGCAGGGCCGCTTGATTGGGAATAAAATGTCGTATTAGTTTGAAACAGTTAAGATTGCGACGTATAGTTTTGGAAAGTTTTTGTATATGTTTATCAAATTTTAGTTGTGGATCTAGAACCAACCCGAGGTAGTTGAATTCTGTTATTGTTTTGATTTTTTCATTTTGTAATATGATTTGGAAATTTGGATTTATTTTTCTAATAGAAAAGCACATGGACACTGTTTTTGTAAGATTTAAGACCAGGTGATTTTGAGTGAGCCACTTGCTCACCTCAGCCATACATGCAGATAACACGTCTGCTGCCTGCTCCGGGGGTCTTTGCGGGTGCATAAAAAACAGCATCATCCGCATAGAGTTGGCACATGACACCTGGGCAGGATGATGGAAGGTCATTTATGAAGAGACTGAAGAGCAAAGGTCCTATTATGGATCCCTGTGGAATGCCCATTTGTGACTTTAAAAGTACAGATTTATCTTTATCTATTTTAACGCATTGTGGTCTGGTCTGGAGGTAGGATGTAAACCACTGTATTGCGTTTGGTGAGATGTTGAAAGAGGACATTTTAGACAGAAGTAGATTGTGGTTTACGGTCTCAAAGGCTTTTTTCAGATCCAGAAAGACTGCCCCCACCACTTCACCTCTGTCAATGGACATTTTCAGATTTTCAATAAAACAGCAGTTGGCTATTTCGGTGGAGTAACCTGCCCGAAAGCTAAACTGCTGTGGGTGTAGAAGGTGGTGGGCCTCTAGGTGGTCAGTCAGCTGAGTGGCTACAGTCTTTTCAATAATTTTGGACATAGTTGGTAAGATAGCAATGGGCCTGTAGTTAGACATATTGTCCTGTGCTCCTGATTTAAAAATTGGGACAATAACTGCTTTTTTCCACACTTCAGGGAATCTGCAAGTTCTAATTGAGAGATTGATAAGATGTGTCAAGGGTTTGATTAGTGCAGTCTGATAGCTTTTTAGGAAGCAGGTGTTCATATTATAAATGTCATTTGATTTCGAGTTTGATAAATTTGCTACAATTGTTGTTGTTGTTTTTTCATCAATTTCCAAGATTTGAAAACACTCTGCATCTATTGTTGGGCCTGGATCTGAGAGTTTGCAGGCCTCGAAATGACTAGTTATTTCTTTTATTGATTGGACAAAGTGGTTGTTAAACTCATTGGCAATGGTGGCACTGTTGGTAATTCTGTTGCCATTTATTGTGATTTGCATAATTTCATTGTGCTTTGTTTTTTTATTAGTCAGATTGTTTAAATGTTTCCAAAGGGAGTTGTTATTATTCCCTCTGGAGTTGCCAATGAGCTCAGTGTAGTAAGAGGCTTGTGCTTTACGCAGCTCTTTCACTACTTTGTTTCTTAAACTTCTGTATATTTGATTGTCTGTGCCAAGTTTTGAATTTAGGGATTTCTTGAGAGCTAGGTCGCGGGATCTCATCAGTTTTCTTAATTCGCTGTTGATCCAAGGGATGGTGTTATCTTTTTGTCTGCACTTTTTTTGTTGAATATATTTCTCCATTAATTTTGAAATAGATTTAGTCATAAAGTTGCAGGCATCATCTACATTTTCCATAGACATCATTTGTTCCCAATTCAATTTTTGTATTTCTTTTTCCACTTGTTGGGCTTTGGTTTTTGGGATGACCAGTTTTACTTTTTCATTTGTGTGATCAGGTTTACCAAAGTAAGTAAGCCTATTTTTAGTCAGCTTTCTAACTGTCAGGGTCATGTTATGGTCAGAAAGTCCAGTTACTAAGTTATAGGTCCTTGTGATACGCTCAGGTTTGTTAGTAAATATCATGTCAATGAGCGTCTTGGTCTGTCTGGTGATCCTAGTCGGTCCCTTAATCATTTGGTGGTAGTAGGATTTACTCATTAGTGTTTTCAGTTTTTGCTTAGCACAGTTGTCAGACCAATTGATATTGAAGTCACCATACCATAATGTCTCTCTGTATGAGTCCAACTTTTTAACTAACAAACCAAAATCCTCATAAAAAGCAGTAGTATGAGAAGGTGGATTATAAATGGCAACGATGTTGAAATTCATTGTTGGAGACAGGACTATATTCAATGCTAGACATTCAAGGGCAGTATCCAGTTCAATTACATTGCATTTGAATTGGTCTTTTATGTAGATGAGCACACCCCCTCCCTTCCCAGAGTTTCTGTCTTTCCTAAAGCATTGATATCCTGAAATGTCAATCATATTTGTTGGAATATTACTGTGGAGCCATGATTCTGTAAAACACATGTAGTCTAGGTTGGACTCCAGGAGAAGAATGGTGATTTGATCTCTTTTGGAGATTATGCTCCGTATGTTCAGGTGTCCTCCCATTATTCCTTTTGGTTTACATGCTGGTTCCCACAGCACTCGGGCATGATTAACAGTTTGAAAGAAGAGATGTTGTTTTTGTTTATGTTCAGCGCGGCCTGTGTCCACCGCCTGCTCTGGGCCTGCTCGCCTGTTAGCGCGTCTCTTAGCAGATCTGAGCCTCGCTCCCACCGCGCGTGAGACGGTCCTCACTACAGTATCTTGCGCCGTGGATGTTACTGGCGGTCTCGCTACGTCCGTGTATGGGTGCGCGGGGCAGGGGCACTCACCGGTGGGGCAGTGGTCAGATGGGCGTAGGCGGCTGGATTCTTGCGTGGGGCATTCTTTGGCCCGGCACAGTTCCGGGTGTGCAGGTAGCTCCTGGCGCTGCCGCAGCAGCGGCTGCAGTGCCGGGTGGTGCGCTTTGGGTTCAGGTGCGCACAGGGGCGGTGGCAGCGCTGCTCCTCCGCCGGCCTCGGGCCCCACAGTGGGACAGCCCTGGTGCTCAAAGGTCGTTCCAGGTCCAGGATTAAGATGTATATCCCCCGCCATGAGAATGAGCACAATCAGGACTCTGGATGCTTGCATACGGCCGTGCTTTGGTATTGCACTGGGGGCTCTGCTCCTGTCTTTAGTCCAAAGGTTTGAAGACCAGATGGAGTACAGGACGCTGTGTCCATGACCAAACATATAGAGTTTTTTTTGTTCACACTTGGTTGTGTGAGCTTGTGTACCCATTTGTATTGAGAAACTGTAAATCCAGAAACACGATAACAATAAAAATGAATTAAAGAGTGCAGCTCAACAAACCACTCCTGTCGGCCATCTTCATTGATAAGTAAAAATCAACTACTCTTTTACTGTTGGAGTCAGACCATTCTGCACTTTTAATTTTTTGAGTTTTAGTACTCTACATGCTCCTGGTGTTTTGATAGTGTACTGTATTTCATCTTTGTTTGTGTCGGCTTTAGCTAGCGATTAGCATGGATGCACATGCCTCGCCCCACATGCCTCGCCCCCCATAGGTTGCGCTGAGACTATTTGGCGCTAATTTTCTGCCCATGGAACTTATAAATCCAATCTACTTTTATAATAGAGCAGATTATAAATGATAAATACAGAAAGGCAATACAATAAAAACAAATAAAAGCTACACATTTAATGCAAAAAATATATATATTCTAGTAAGTAAAATGCAAACGCTATGGGTGCTATTTATTTTGTGTTTGCATTTCTTGTAGCTCTGGAGAATGTGTCCAAATCAGTGCGACTGTGGAAGACTGCCGTGGAGCTTGAGGAGCCAGAAGATGCTAGAATCATGCTGAGCAGAGCTGTAGAATGCTGTCCTACAAGTGTGGAGGTATGGAATACATGAGGGAGAAGTAACCAAACACCGGACTGGACCAACTCACTGTAATAAATACTTCACATTGTATACCATTCACGCCATTTATCAACGGATTTTTTTCCTCCGTCAAGCTTTGGCTCGCTCTGGCTCGGTTAGAGACCTATGAAAACGCTCGCCGTGTTTTGAACAAAGCTCGAGAGAACATCCCCACCGACCGCCACATCTGGATCACGGCCGCGAAGCTGGAGGAGGCCAACGAGAACACGCAGATGGTGGAGAAGATCATCGACAGAGCCATCACCTCTCTGCGAGCCAATGGAGTGGAGATCAACAGAGAGCAGTGGATTCAGGTATCGTGCGAGTATTTGTGCATCGACTGTATGCAATAAGCCTCTTTGTTCTGTAGTCAAAAGTCAAAAAAAAAAAAAAAAATTAAAATGCCTACAGCTTCCACCATTGCATTGTAGGTTTTTCTGAACTTTTTCCAACTGGGTTTTTTAGTGATCATTCATTGAACTGGGATATTTACTGGGATATTTAAAGGTACACTGTGTTGTTTTTACTGCCTAGTATTGCCAGACTGCCAAGGAAAGAATCCTTTAGTCCAAACGTCTCGGCCACTTGATAGTCACATGGAGGCGACATGTAAACAAGACCCGCTGCACAGAGGCTCTACTGAGTTTTACCATGGATCTATTATAATATAGTTTTACAAATGCGGTACACATTTGTAAAACTGGACCTATACACATCTGCAGCAGGACATGGCTAAAAGATCATGTCATTATTAGCGTTAGCCTGCATCACGGTAAGAAAACAGAACATTCACTCACGCTGCTGATAAAGTATTCTGGCGATTGTTGTTTGGGGATTCTGTGTGTTTTATTTGAGGCTTTGTCCGTGAAGTTTGTCCTGAGACTGTGTTGCAGATTCTGCCTCGTTCTCATTATTGTCAGTGTGAAAAAAAGTCTGTACACCCTACACAATGTTCCTCCTGTTGTGTTAACACTGTCTTTAGGTGCGTGTGGTTCGCGATGTTGACAGTTTGCTGCTATGACGTCGGACTTTTGCATGATTATTTTTTAAGATTGTTCGGGTTGTTCTTTTACTGTGGTCCTCCATGGTTCTTTTATATAACTGTGGTCCTCCATGGTTCCTTCTTCAAACTTGTGAAGGCATGGTGAAAGCAACGATATCGGCAGCAGTAGAAACGAAAACACGATTCTCTCCTTTTATGTCCCTTATCCACCACCGTTTTTCAAGATGGCGCATTCACACGGAGAGCACTCCTCTCTCATGGACACTTATAAGTTAAATTCTAAGCCTATGAAAAAACAATTACAAAAATATGGTAGAGGTAAAAAGTCTTAAAAAGGTCACATTTGTTTTTAGTTAATATGTTTTTTCATATGGAGCAACTGTAAAAATTACACTGGGTGGCTTCAAGGACATTTAGGACCCATTGTGGTCTCTCTCTTCTGTCTCTCTCATCTCTCTCTGGTCTCTCTCTGGTCTCCTAAAGTGCTCCGAGAAAACTCCTGTACTACTACTATATTTTGGCTTCACAAAAATAATATTTAATGAATTAAATAGAAACAGATTGTGACTAATATGTAAAATATGCAAGCGTTAAAAGAGGATAATAAATCCTCACTCTCATGGCACGCCTGTCAAAGCTGTGCCAAATAATACATCACTGATATGGAATCTGTGTTGGCATCAATTACATTGCTTTTTCTGTTGGTGAAATAACTGTCAATCGTAGGGGGCAAATATAACACCAACGTTCAGAAACAATGACACAAGTTTGCAGTAGTCATTTCAAATTCACACACAAACACCACTGACGAATCCAAAGAGGTCTAATAATAACATATGGAGGAAGAGTCCAAGATGGCCGACAATTGTGCTGAAAGAAAGACTGCTCGGTGGTGCATTGCAAACATTTATTTTGCTCTTTTGGGCCATAGTGATGACAGTGAGCATGTTTACAAGTAAATGTCCTGGATTATCACTGTCCTTAGTTCCCCCAGTGTTGCCCCGCCTTCTATTGGCATCTTTCTATTGGAATAAATCACATGGCACAGTGCCATCTGAAACTGATACCAACACACAACTCTGCAGCCTTTTATTAACAAAATCCTGTGTTTTTAAATAGAAAATCAAACAAGCACAAAAAGTATTTCTAATCTTCTCGCATCATTCATTTTGACCAATTGGGTGATACTGGAAAATTCCCAAAAGCACACCAAACACCTCATGGCACCTTAGCATGCCTCGTAACACTGGTTGAGAAACACAGCCATATCTATTTCCAACCCTTCTGTTTCTGAATTTTGTTTTGCTCTTCAGGATGCAGAGGAGTGTGATAAGGCGGGCAGCGTGGCCACATGCCAGGCTGTGATCAGGGCGGTCATTGGGATCGGCATTGAAGAAGAGGATTGTAAACACACCTGGATGGAGGATGCAGACAGCGTATGTATTTCAGACGATCCAACGTATAATGCTGTATTTATAATTCAATGCAATGTTTGTTTCAGTGTGTCGCCCATGGAGCGCTGGAGTGCGCCAGGGCCATCTACGCTCACGCTCTCCAAGTTTTCCCCAGCAAGAAAAGTGTTTGGCTCCGGGCTGCATACTTTGAAAAGAACCATGGCACAAGGTAAGCATGATGTAGATTATAGGTTTTTGTGAAACCTTTGGACGTAACCTCAGGATATCTGGCATTTTTAACTGGGGTAAAGCACTTTCAAATCAGAAAAATATGCATATAATATAAGTAGTACTCACTCTCTGAACAGTTTTGTTCTATCTCTATCTTTGGATCAGCTTTTTCAGACAGAAAAGTAAAACAAAGGGTGGACCACCACCACTTAGTCAAGCAGCTCACAGCCTAGTGAGCAAACAGTGACTCACAGCGCTTCTTACAAGAATAAAAATCATTCTGTATAAAATATAGAATAATATCTGCAAAGATGGAAGACCACATGTTGTTGTCTGATAGATTTTACAGAACAAAATAGTATAATTTATTAAATTAAAACCATTGGGTTTGCTTGATATATTATTTGTTATAGCCCTTTGTATTTAATGTGCTGTTTTTGTTCCCAGAGAGTCTTTGGAGGCCCTTCTGCAGAGGGCTGTGGCTCACTGCCCCAAAGCTGAGGTGCTGTGGTTGATGGGAGCCAAGTCCAAATGGCTGGCTGGAGATGTGCCCGCGGCCAGAAGTATTCTGGCTTTGGCTTTTCAGGTAGAGAAACAAAAGGAGCTCAACTAAATTGTCATTTGTTGTCGTGCACCATTTAACCAGAACCTCTTTAACTTCAGGCAAACCCAAACAGTGAAGAGATCTGGTTGGCTGCAGTCAAACTGGAGTCTGAAAACAATGAGTACGAACGAGCACGTCGACTTCTGGCCAAGGCCCGCAGCAGCGCACCTACGGCTCGGGTAACTTTTAAACTTTGGGAAAACATTTTGGCCAAGAGGATACGTCAAATAGAGTGTTGCTTGAAAAGAACTTCTAAGTAGCTTTAGCTAAAATATTTAATGTTTCATACAATCTTGTATGTTCTGAAGAATTGATTTAACGTTGAATCAAGCGCCTAGAGAACGTTGCATGCTTATATTGAACTTGTGTTAACTTTATCCAGATCATGTCACCACCAACAGATGTCTGTTTTGTTCGTTCAGGTCTTTATGAAGTCTGTAAAGTTAGAGTGGGTTCTTGGAAACATCGAAGCCGCCCATGACTTATGCACTGAAGCTCTCAAACACTACGAGGACTTCCCCAAACTGTGGATGATGAGGGGTCAGATCGAAGAGCAGTGTGAGAACACTGACAAGGCCCGGGAGGCGTACAACCAGGGGGTGAGACAAGTCCTCCTAAGAAATGGCTCTCTGTTTGTTCATGTTTTGTATGGAATTATACATTTTTGCTTGACTTTTAGCTTAAAAAGTGTCCTCATTCGATGCCGCTGTGGATACTGATGTCTCGTCTTGAAGAAAGAGTGGGTCAGCTAACCAGAGCAAGAGCAATTCTCGAAAAGGCTCGTCTCAAGAACCCACAGGCGCCTGAGCTTTGGTGAGAATATGACATGCATGTATCTACCATACTGGAAAGTATACATGAACAAAATATATACATTTCTATATACATATACAGTGCCTTGCGAAAGTATTTCAACATTTCGCCACATTTCAGGCTTCAAACATAAAGATATAAAAATTAAATTTCTTGTCAAGAATCAACAAGTGGGACACAATCGTGAAGTGGAACGAAATGTATTGGATAATTTAAACTTTTAACAAATAAAAAACTGAAAAGTGGGGCGTGCAATATTATTCGGCCCCCTTGCGCTAATACTTTGTAGTGCCACCTTTTGCTGCAATTACAGCTGCAAGTCGCTTGGGGTATGTCTCTATCAGTTTTGCACATCGAGAGACTGGAATTCTTGCCCATTCTTCCTGGCAAAACAGCTCGAGCTCGGTGAGGTTGGATGGAGAGCGTTTGTGAACAGCAGTCTTCAGCTCTTTCCACAGATTCTCGATTGGATTCAGGTCTGGACTTTGACTTGGCCATTCTAACACCTGGATACGTCTATTTGTGAACCATTCCATTGTAGATTTGGCTTTATGTTTTGGATCATTGTCCTGTTGGAAGATAAATCTCCGTCCCAGTCTCAGGTCTTTTGCAGACTCCAACAGGTTTTCTTCCAGAATGGTCCTGTATTTGGCTCCATCCATCTTCCCATCAATTTTAGCCATCTTCCCTGTCCCTGCTGAAGAAAAGCAGGCCCAAACCATGATGCTGCCACCACCATGTTTGACAGTGGGGATGGTGTGTTCAGGGTGATGAGCTGTGTTGCTTTTACGCCAAACACATCGTTTTGCATTGTGGCCAAAAAGTTTGATTTTGGTTTCATCTGACCAGAGCACCTTCTTCCACATGTTTGGTGTGTCTCCCAGGTGGCTTGTGGCAAACTTTAAACAAGACTTTTTATGGATATCTTTTGAGAAATGGCTTTCTTCTTGCCACTCTTCCATAAAGGCCAGATTTGTGCAGTGCACGACTGATTGAGGTGGGAGACTGAGGTCTCCCACCTCAGCTGTAGTTATCTGCAGTTCATCCAGCGTGATCATGGTCCTCTTGGCTGCATCTCTGATCAGTCTTCTCCTTGTTTGAGATAAAAGTTTGGAGGGACGGCCGGGTCTTGGTAGATTTGCAGTGGTTTGATACTCCTTTCATTTCAATATAATTGCTTGCACAGTGCTCCTTGAGATGTTTAAAGCTTGGGAAATCTTTTTGTATCCAAATCCGGCTTTAAACTTCTCCACAACAGTATCTCGGACCTGCCTGGTGTGTTCCTTTGTCTTCATGGTTCTCTCTGCGCTTTAAACAGAACCCTGAGACTATCAAAGAGCAGGTGCATTTATACGGAGACTTGATTACACACCGGTACATTCTATTTATCATCATCAGTCATTTAGGACAACATTGGATCATTCAAAGATCCTCACTGAACTTCTGGAGTGAGTTTGCTGCACTGAAAGTAAAGGGGCCGAATAATATTGCACGCCCCACTTTTCAGTTTTTTATTTGTTAAAAACGTTTAAATTATCCAATACATTTTGTTCCACTTCACGATTGTGTCCCACTTGTTGTTGATTCATGACAAAAAATTAAAATGTTATCTTTGTTTGAAGCCTGAAATGTGGCGAAATGTTGAATACTTTTCGCAAGGCACTGTATATTGGTGCCTTCCAAAATATTGCGTTTTAAATACGTTAACACAAATCAGTATTAATGATGTAATTTTTTTTTTATTTTGTGATATTTGCATGACCAACTTCACATATATTTTTTTTTACCTGTGGCCACTGTTGGTAGCGTTAGATAAACTACAGAAACCAGAAACGGGAGTCTTGCGCCAAAATGGATGTTAACAAGAATCTGAATGGAAAGTTTAGTTTCATAATATTTCCAGATGGGTCGACTAACAAGAACACAGTTATCTGTGTGTATGGTCAGTGTGTAATAGTTATCACCGTAGCACATCCACCGGACGGCCAAACACACGGCTACAACCAATAAATGTCATTGTTGCGCACATCACAACAGAAAAAAGGGAAGAAATAAGATCACTCAGGTTGCACACATCAAATAGGATCTGTTATTTAAGATAATGAGAAAAATTACATAAAACTCTATAATTGCACTTGGTTCAATAGCACCAGGCGGTGTTTATATTATACTTTAGCAGCAGAGAATGTATGACTAGAATAAACAATTGTAATAATAGTCCACTTGTCACTTTTTCTGCTGCTATCTGAACAGAACCATCAGTGGAATATGTAGTAATGTAGTTAAACTATAGCAGTATAAAGTGATAGGCGACTTGTGGATTCTCAATCAATTCATATAATGTACAAACATGCATATCTACACAATAATCTGACTCAATACTTTTGTAATAGTCATTGATCCAAGTTGACCACAGATATTATACAAATGTTTCTTTTTTTTGGCATTTTAGGTTGGAGTCGGTAAGACTAGAATTCCGGGGTGGATTGAAAAACATTGCAAGCACATTGATGGCAAAGGCCCTGCAAGAGTGTCCAAATTCAGGTATCAGATATATGTTCTGGCATGAGAGTAGTGTGTCGGAACCCCTGTGTATTATTCATGGCTCTCTTCCTGTAGGTATTCTGTGGTCTGAGGCTGTGTTTTTAGAGGCTAGACCCCAGAGGAAAACCAAGAGTGTGGACGCTTTGAAGAAGTGTGAACACGATCCTCATGTGCTGCTGGCTGTGGCAAAGTGCGTCCCATATCTAATTTATATAGCTTTGCCTTGTCGTATTTACTGATCAAATATTAACTCTGTCCCATGTTTTAGATTGTTCTGGAGCGAGCGCAAGATCACCAAAGCCAGAGAGTGGTTTCTCAGAACGGTGAAGATCGAGCCAGACCTGGGAGATGCCTGGGCACTTTTTTACAAGTTTGAAATGCAACACGGCACAGAGGTGAGGCACTGCAAATGTAGCTGCAGTCTATTTACACAGTACTTTAGCTTACAGAGTCTCAAAATCAAAGTTCATCAAAGTATTACATTTGATGAACTCGCATATGGCCATGAGCTTTGACTAATGACCGAAAAGACAAGATGACATATTACAAATGGTCAGAAATAGTTTCCTCCCCAGAGTGGCTGAGAATTTCCTTAGGACAGGGTTTAGAACTGTGGAACACAGAGACCTCAGAGTGCAGTCACTTCTCCACCGACAGGAGCCTGTTGAGGGGGCTCAAGCATCTGTTTCAGATGCAGCCTGGGAAACGCGCTGCCCAGAAGCCAATTTAGGTCCTCTAGAAATCTGATCTAGCCCTAATGCTTCCTAATAACAAAAGGCATACATACATGTTTTCTTGTCCAATCCAATCCAATCCACTTTATTTATATAGCACATTTCATAAACACAGTTTCCAAAGTGCTGCACAATAAAATACCAAAAATAAATCCATAGTAAGACAGTTAATAATAAAAAATCAAATTTGAAAAACCGTGTGTGCATATGTATAAACACAGAAATAACAATAATAAGATGAAATAAAATAAAATAAAAGGACCATACAACTCACGTAGTGTTAAAAGCCAGAGCATAAAAATGGGTCTTAAGACGAGACTTAAAACACTCCACTGAAGGAGCTGTTTTGACGTGGGGGGGCAGAGCGTTCCACAGCTTTGGTCCAGCCACAGAGAAGGCCCTGTCCCCCCGGGTTTTAAGTCTGGTCTTAGGCACCACGAGCTGGAGCTGGCCCTCGGACCTCAGCGCGCGGGGCGGGTGGTAAATTTGGATGAGGTCCGAGATGTAGGGAGGGGCCAGTCCATTCAAACCTTTAAAAACAAACAATAAAATCTTAAAATTGATTCTAAAATGAACAGGAAGCCAGTGCAACGAAGCCAGAATTGGTGTAATGTGATCGCGCCTTCTGCTTCCTGTTAAAAGTCGTGCCGCTGAGTTTTGGACCAACTGCAAACGGGAAAGTGCGTTTTGGGGGATGCCCGCATAAAGTGCATTGCAATAGTCCAGGCGTGACGAAATAAAAGCGTGCATGACCTGCTCAAAAAGATTAAAAGATAAAAAAGGTTTGACTTTAGATAAAAGCCGCAAATGATAAAAGCTTGATTTTAAAACGCGATTAATCTGCTTATCAAGTTTAAAATCACTGTCTAAGATGACGCCAAGGTTGGTGACTGTGGGGCGCACATGGTCCTTTAAGGGCCCCAGGTCAATGAGGGGGGGACTAGGGCCAAATAAAATAACCTCTGTCTTATTTTCATTGAGTTTAAGAAAGTTTTGAGCCAACCAATCCTTGACGTCACTCAGACAGTTGAGTAGAGGCGTCAGGGGGCTGTGATCATTTTTTAACAAAGGCATGTAAATCTGACAATCGTCAGCATAAAAGTGATAAGACATTCCATGTTTTTTAAAAATGTCACCAAGTGGGAGGAGGTACAGGGCAAAAAGCAAAGGGCCAAGAATTGAGCCCTGGGGAACTCCACAGTGCAAAGGGGCAGAGGTGGATGTGGAGTCCCCCAGCCTGACAGTGAAGGACCGCCCTGACAGGTATGACCTAAACCAGTCCAGGGCGGTCCCCCTGACACCCACACAGTATTTAAGACGATTTAAAAGAGTTGCATGGTCCACAGTGTCAAACGCAGCAGTCAAGTCTAAAAGCACTAAAACAGCAGAATTTCCAGAATCTGCCAATAAAAGCAGGTCGTTAAAAACCTTTAAAAGTGCAGACTCAGTGCTGTGCAAAGCTTTGTACCCAGACTGGAAAGGGTCTAAAGTGCAATTTTCATTTAAAATTGCACTTTAGACCTCCATGTTTGTCCAAGTTGATTCAAATGCTTTAGTATTTTTGAAATTATATATATATATATATATATATATATATATATATAAACTGATTCTGTCAACAAATAAAATTATAGAACAGAAAAAAAACGTGCTGCTCAACAAATATGAAGGACTGAATCTCTTAGCTGGAGCTGGGTGGGTCTCAGGATTCCCCTGGATGAGCTGGACATGGTGTGCAGTGACAAGCAAGACTGGTCTGAGTTGCTGCCGCTGCAACTCAGCTACGGATAAAGCGGACGATGATGAATGGACACATTTAAGGCCGTTGTAAAATAAGTCTCGGAGGCACACTGTCCCGCTGCTGGTGGCAGCATGTCTTCCATTAAAATGTGGATAGAAGGGTCTTATAAACCGCTTTGTGACTCTGGTCTGTGAAAGGCGGTATATAAATAAAGCTTACTTACTTACTTACTTACTTACTTAAGTTGACCAAACCTGAAGTAACCCTGTGTCTGTTAGATTGTCTCTTTGACCTCTCTCCCACTTCTCGCTCTTGTGCCTTCTTCCCACATATTTATTTTATGCTGATGAAGGTTTTTTTGGTCGTGTCTTTTCAGGAGCAACAGGAGGAGGTGCGTAAGAGGTGTGAGAATGCCGAGCCTCGTCACGGGGAGCTGTGGTGTGCAGAGTCTAAACATGTCCTGAACTGGCAGAAAAACATCGGAGAGATTCTTACTCTAGTTGCCAGCAAGATCAAGAACACTTTTTGAGTTTCGCAACTGTGTTTTCAAAGGATATTCTAGACGACAGTTGGCTGGACCACATTCACAGCTTGCCATGCTGTCTGCAAGATTTGTCCGCAAGATTTATAGTGTGTTTTGTGCCCTGAAAGAAGCAGCTAATTGGTTTTGTCATTCACATGAAAATAGTTGTTTTTTTTTTAAAAACATGTCCTAATGTTAAAGGTGCACTGTGCAACTTTTCTGATTTGGTCCACTGCCCGCTTGCTTAGAAAGTCCTTGGCATGATATTAAACATGTACATTTTTATATTAGACCCTAACCCTGCTCAAAAGTCTGAATTCTTACATGGTGTTGGCTCTCATCTTTGCAGCTATGACCTCTAACTGAAGTGAAGTCTCTGATGTAGATAGACATTTATGAACGCCATACTGTGGAACATTCCAGACAAAACAACAGTATTTGGATCAAGGGTCTTCGACCTCATCAGCCTTTTCAAAGAGCTGAGTCAAAAGAGTTAAACATTTGCAGAATATTCACCATTTGATCATCCACGTGCCTCACTTACTGTCTTTATCTTCTGCATATCTTTCTACCTGCCAGATGCTGTGGTTGTGACACTGCAACATCTGGCAACCCATCTCCAGTTGTTAATGCTCGGCTTACTGTCTATGGTCAGGATTTTAACCTGATGATTTTTATTAAGTTTAGACTCTTTTTAAACCTGCAAAACTAGATTTGCCACAACCTTCACACTAATACAGTTCTGAAAAGAGGTTGGATGAAGTAGACTCGTTTTTCATCCAAACACTCCTACAATTTATGTTTTGGGTTATGGTAGAAACCGGAGAGCCCAGAGGAAATGCATCAAAGACACTGAGAGGAACATGCATACTTGCTTACATACCACAGAAAGCTTGGCCTCTCTCAGCTATAGGTGGTGCTGATACCTGATACCTGATGCCACTGACTGTTCTTAAAGCATAGGTAATTGAAAAGATCATTTGAAAAAACAGCAAAGTACCATTATTAAAAAATATTAGACATTAGGAATACAACTTGACAATTACTCAAAACTGAGATACCGGTATCTGTTTTTGCTAATGAACTCTGCATATGTCGAAAGGTATGTAGTTAGTTACTACTACAAAAACATTTAAAGGTTTGTGTAACTAAATAAATGTGTGCATTGGATCTGGAACTTGACAAATGTTGCATAGTGCATCTTTGAAATCACTGTGTAAATACTATCAGAATTGCTTTAAATTCTGTCAAAGATGAAAAGCGATTTTTTTTTAAATTACAAAATGTAATTTGTCCACAAGACCAAGGGATGCCTATTTCAATACACTCCCTCACGTGAACAGACCGCTTCTTTGTGCATGTGTCTTATCTTTCCACCTAGAACACACACACACACACACACACACTGTCTCGCTCTTTCTCTACCTTTCTCTCTTGCACTCTTACACTTTCTGTCTTTCTCTTTCATGCTGTGTCTTCTCTTGCTTCTCTTACTTTCTCTAATTGTCTCTGTCTCCCTCTCTTACTTTCTCTGTATCTCTCCCTCTCTCACTTTCTCTCATTCTCTCTCTCTGTCTCCCTCTATTTCTCGGTCTTCCTCTTTTTCTTGCCCTCTCACTCTCCCTGTATCTCAATCTCACTTTCTGTCCCTGTGTTTATCACCACTTCTGTCTCTCTCCCTCTCTGTCTCTCACTTTCTCCAATGGCCTCACTCTTTCTGTCTCCCTCTATTCTCTGTCTTCCCCTCTTCCTTGCTCTGTCTCTCCCTCTCTCTTTCACTTTCGCTCCCTTTCTCTTTCCCTCTCCTCCTCTCTTGTTTCTCTCTCTCCCTCTCAGAGCCAATATACCGTTTTTGGATGAACTTTCAACACCTGGGCAAGTTTGAAAGCGGGTGATTAATGGCAGAACTTTCCATTCATGAGTTTGGTGAAATTCAAAGCCAAGACGTGACAGTCCGTGACGGAGAGAATACACGCACTCCGGTGATGTTGGAAGAATCGCTGCACCATAACGGAAGTACGAGGCTCAACACCTCTGCAGCCGCGTCTTAAAATACATAAAGCCTTTGGCGCTGGAGAGAACTGTCTTCTGACTGTGAACGCCTGAGGAGCCAAAACAACATGATAAATGGTAAAAGTATAGTTTGAATAAAGTATTGCGTTTGTTACGGTCAGTCTTTCTCTGTATTCAATGCACTGCTGCTAATCTCCCATCTGATTCTACTCTGACTGTTTGTTTATGTTTTGATTACAGTGTGTGGCCAAAGCTGTGTTCTTCATACTGGTGCTGCTGGTTTTTGTGGTGAACTCTATGGGAAAGCGCAGATGTAATTACGCGGAGATCCTTGGCACGTACAGAGGTCTGATCTACGTAGAGCTGCAGAGTCTGGTGCGTTCTCAAACTTTATACACTCACGATGATGACCCGCTGCTGCCCTCTACTGTCTGAGCATGAACTGCAATCATGTATTTATTTTGACCCGGCGTGTCCAGACTGAGGCCCGCGGGCCAAATGCGGCCCTCTGTCATTGTATGTGGCCCTCTGTCTGGCAAACAGCAAGTAGACTTTGAGATAATTAACACACGTTCAAAATGTCATCCAGCCAACTTCAACTACGTGCTGTACCTCGTAAAGCTCAGAACCTCTAGACATTATTTGTATAATCGGACATGTCTTTGATTGTGTGCCACAAAGTGATATGGTGTGAATGTAGCTGGTGTGATGGTAAACATTTGTCTTTCAAACACCTTCAGATTTAGTATGGACATGAGTTCATACCCCATTTTGAAGTGTTATGGGTACCTGGAAATGAATGGTGAACCAAAGTGGCCCTCTTGTGTTTTCTTTGAATCATCTAATTTACCCAGGGGACCCAGAAATCAGTCATTCTACAGTCTTCAAGCCATTCCACAGAAATTAGCTGTAACCTCCTTTATTTTTACTAAAGAACATGCAAGACAAGTCCGTCTGACTTTGGATTTGTATAATTCTCTGTGCAGAGATTTGTTCTCACTTATAATCAGCGCAAATTAGTCATTGTAGGACAAAAACAGTAGGGCCATATAGCGTCACAGAGTCCAGGTAAAAAGTTTCCTAAAACAGTCTTTTGTTATGTCTCTTTCCCTATTTCTCTTAGAACGTAACATCCTCTGATAACACCTATAAAGTGAGAAGACTATGCCCCTCTGTTAAGGTAAGCTAACTATTCTGTAAAATACTGTTCAGCACCACGGACAGAGCATATGTTTACATTCAAACACGTGTATGTTTTTGCATCATCCAAAGGCACACCACATCTTAGGCTCCATTTACGACACGACGCAGTGGATGCGGTGTCAGATCGGAGGAAAACCGTCAGCGCTGAGCCACGTGCTGGAGAGCATGGAGCAGGTCATTATACACAACTGCAGCCCGGATCAATGGGTAAGAAGAGTTCACACATTCCACTGGATTTAAGATGGGTCACCAAACGCTTCCCAATCCATGTAGTTGCACAGGAAGAGATTGTATTTATGTCCTCTGGGAATGTGACTAGGGCCAAAAATACACTCATGTGAAAATTATAGTGATAGAGCCAACATTTAGATGGATTTTTATTTGCTTAGTTCTATTGTTATGGTTTGTTTTGATTGATGTGTCAATTACTCTGATTCTTGTCTTCTTCCTTCACACAGGGTGGACGTCTTTCTTGCGCCTCTGTCAAAAAAATAAAAGGAATGGAAAGAAAGAGGATACAGCTGATCAAAATCATGAAAGCCCTTACAATATGTTGGCAGAAACTTCACAGTGTGTTTCCAGCTAAATAGATGTTGTGTGTGTTGTGTCTATCTTTTTAATATTGTAGTTGTATGCAACATTTGTGTATCATGTATATGCATCACATGTAGTTGTGTGATTGTGTGGGTGGAGATGAGATGAAAAAAAAGAAGTCGTTTCTTAAGCCCTTGAGCCACAACACATAACCCTTCATTCCAGACACATACTTTCAAAGATGTGAAATTTGCCATGCTCTTTGAAAATGTACATGTTTTTTAGTGTAATTGCCAAACCCCAGATAAGCTACACAAATGAATAGTGATTTTCTTTTATGCTGTTATCTTTATAGAAAAATGTGTGAATGTTGTATAGTAGTTTCCAAAATAAAATACCAATGTCATATTTTGTTTTTATTTTACTTCTGTTGTGACAGTAGTGGGCCTTTCTGAGTGTCTGCATAGGTTTTCTCTGGGTGCCTCGGTTTTTCCCAACCCTTTAAAAACATGGATCATATCTTCCAGCTGTGGTCCTGACCAGTCGTAGCACCAATATCTGGAGATGGGTCCAACGGCGTTGTTCTATATGGCAACAACTGCTCCTGACAGAGGTCCTGGTGGCATTGAAAGGATGGGTCAAATGCAGAGAACAATTTTCACTACTGGGACAACAAAATATTGCTTATAATTTCAACCCTGCTTTAGAATAATTTCAATGGAGCCTATATGAGATGAACGCCAATAATTAAATGCAGTATACCATTGAGACATACTGTTATCATGACAACAGAATAAAACATTCTAACATTCTAATGTATTCATATATTGTGTTTGCGGAACGCTTGTTATGTCATGTTAGTTTCAGTCCGGACATAATAGACGACGGACCCGCGCACTCCTCGCAGTTCGGCGCAAAATATTTTCATAGGAGTTGAAATCTGTACGTTTTTTGACGCATTTACTACAATATACACTAGTCTAAACTAAAACTTAAAGGTACACACACGTTTCTATCGACATGGAAAGATCCGCTCATTTCAAAGTAGTTTGTTTAACGTTTAACTTGAACTAGTTTGGATTGTTTTGTTACTGATTTGCATTCAATAGCGATATCTTCGACTTCAGAATGGCTAGCAGCAGCAGCAGCAGCAGCAGCATGGACATGGACCCAGATGTTGCCCGTAATCTGTTCGTTGAAGGTGCTACCCTGGTCCTGCTGGGGGTCCCGAGGGGCACGGAGCTGGGCATTGACTGTAAGAGCTGGCAGGTGGGTCCGAAGTTCCGCGGAGTGAAGATGATTCCCCCAGGCCTCCACTTTCTCCACTACTCCTCAGTCAATTCACCCAGCTGTGGCAACGAGATAGGACCAAAGACTGGCCGTTTTCTCACGCTAAAACAGCGGGAGATCCTCTTGGCGAATTGGGATGCTAAGGAGGAGGATTTGGACTTTTCGGCGTCTCAGAATGAGGATGAGGTGAGTAAGATTAGGGAGAATCTACAGGAGCTGGACCCGCATCTGGGCCCATATCCGTACGACGTGCTGAGGAAATGGGTTTCTCTCACTGATCGCATCAATGAAGAGGTGGCCACCAAGCTGCAGCCTCTCTCAGGTTGGTAGGAAGATGATAGGGTTAAAGCAAGGGTGCCTAACTTAAAATAAATAATACATTCCTCTCTCCGTGAGTCCCAACTGAGAGAGTCTTGCAAAAGTATCAGTTCCTGAACAAAATAGACCACCACATTTTGTCTTCATCTTATCTTTTGCATACTGATACTTGTGAGACAGAGCCCTTTGAGTCTCTAGGCTTTGAGCTGCGAGCAGATGCAAGAGCAGGAGTGCATCATGTATTATCAGCACGTTTTTAAATTTGCTTTTTCAGACAAAAACGTGAAACAGAATACCTCTCTTTTTCACGTTTTTGTCTGAAAAGGCAAATTTAAAAACGTGCCGATAATACATGATGGATTTTTATTGCATAGTTCAAATTTTTTTTTTAGGTTTGAAAGTTAAGTTAAGGTACGGGTTGCATAAACACATGATTTTCCTGGTGGGACAGAAACAATAATGCTGAGTTGGCACATTGAGATTTCGCACCCGTGAGGTGCATTACGAATAAATTATTATTATTGAATTATACCTGTGATTTCACCAATTTCACAAACAAATCACCAAATCATGCCCAACTAGAAAGTAATTTCTTAAACTATAAAAACAACATCAATTCTTATCTATTCAACTAATATTCACAGTCTATGCTTTCAACATTTTCTCAGAGCTATTGTATCTTCAGAATCTTAAATGCTGGAATCCCTACAGGTAGAGTTTGTGCCTTCAGTGACGTGATCCCAGAGGTGCAGCTCACTCACACCAAAGACCGAGCCGAGCAGCCCAGGAACGACACGGCGTGCCAGAGCATGAGGGAGGGGCTGGACCGACTGCCCAAGATGAAGCTCCGAGAAGGGACCGAGTTACGCTTCTCCACGGTTCCCAACAAGACCTACCCCCCAGGAGCCACGCCAGCAGAGATCACACAGTGCAGCCTGGACCACAGCTACGCCCTGGACATTTTTCTGGAGAAACACTATCAAGCACAACCTCTCAACCTATTAGGTAAATTGCTGTTGGGAACATTGTACACCACTCTCTGTCATGACAACCTCACGGGGGATTTACACAGTAGGCGTAAACAGCGCGTACGCGTTTACTGCGCGCTCTCTGCGCGTAACATTTTTTTGGAGTATCTACACAGGCCGTGCGCGCAGGTCCGCGGCTTCTGATGCTGTCCCTGTGTAGTCTATGGAGCAGTGTAGAGGACAGTACGAGCCAGAGGACTGATGTAGAGCAACACAAATCACATGCATGTGTTTGTCTTCATGGTCTCTGTGCGCTGGTTTGGCCAGACGCGAGACTTTATGAAAGAAAAAAAACGATGTCCAGAATCACTGTAAAACCTGCTGCTCCTCCTGCTGATGTTTAGACACAAGTGCAGTGTGCGTGCAGATGTGATCTAAAGCCAAGGACCGCTAGAAAAATAAAGTTTTACATGAGATTTCAATGGGAGACGCGTTGGTGCGCGCACAAAATTAGAAATCCATCCTAAATTAGAGCGCAGCTTCGCGTCACATGTCCGTCATACGCGCGTATAACGCTAGAAGTGTAAATATCATCATAGGTTAACATGGAAAAAAGTTACGCGCGTCTGCTGCGCGTATAACGCGTACGTGCTGTAACGCGTGATGTGTAAATTAGCAGTTAGTCTTACACCTGCAGGGCTACAACTAATAATTGCTTTCAGAGTTGATTGGTCTGGCACAGGTTGGTTGAAAGATCCAAGATGGTCCTCCAAGATGATTGCTTTTGAGATTTAGGGCTATACAAAAATGCATTGAATTGAATTGAGATGAATAAATTTAATTTCAATTGCTTGCAGTGTTGACACTCCACTTACTGGCATCAATTAAAGTTGGAAAAGCTGTGAAGCCACTTGAGAAAATTCAAATAGATATATTATATTTGTGTGTTAAGATAGATAAAATAGTTATGTTTTACCATCCGACATACAATCCTATAAATCATATAATTACTGATTTAAGTCTCAAAATCATGTCTCTGAGGGCATGTTTTATTGTCTATACTTTGTTTGCATGGGTTTCAGTTCTTTCATCTTTCTGTCTAATGCAAGACTTTTTTATGTTCCCATTTTAAAGTGATAGAATTTTGTTTTGAAAAGAGAACTTCCGTTCTATATAAATGTGTGTTCAATCACTAAACTTAGTGATTAGGTGCAAATAGGTGCAGTCCTGATCCTCTGCCTCTGGTTCCAGGAGAGCTCCAGTTCGCCTTTGTGTGCTTCATTCTGGGAAACGTCTACGAGGGGTTTGAACACTGGAAGAGCCTGCTGGGTCTGCTGTGCCGCTCCGAGGACGCCATGAGGAAGCGCAAAGACTTGTATCTGGGCCTCATCGCTGTGCTCTACCACCAGCTCGGCGAAATCCCACCAGACTTCTTTGTCGACATTGTGTCTCAGAATAACTTCCTCACGTCAACTCTGCAGGTAAAATATACATGTTTAAAAATTGCGTTCATTGACAGAGATTGGATATCATTTAAAAGTCTTCATACTTTTGCACATTTTCTTATGTTATAACCACAAACATACATATTTTACTCAACACGGTAACAGATAAATGTGATGTGAAAGAATAATTATACATGTTTTCATTAGTAGTAAAACAAATATTACCAAAACACTGAGTTTGGTTTGCACTGTAATTTCTCCTGAGATTGTTCTGTATTTGCTCCATCCCTCTTTAATCTATCAACTTTTGTTTGTAAAACGCCTTTCCTACACAAAAGCGACTCAAAGCACATCAAGCATAAAACATAAAAATTAAAATCAAAACATGCATTAATAAATATGATTAAAACAAACATGAAGTTCGCAATAAATATTAAAAACATAAAAATTACACACAGAATTATCTGCAGTGCATAAAAAAAAGTAAAGGTAAAATCGTTCAGTTGTATGCACAGCTAAACTGTTTTTAACCTGGATTTAAAAACTACCTGGCTCACAGTTTCAGGAAGGTTGTTCCAGATTTTAGCTGCATAAATTTGAAACGCTGCCTCCCCATGTCTAGTCCTGACCATAGACTGTATATATTAATGGACAGAGTCACGCCTATCTCCGCCGTTCTAACTAATGGGCCAAAAAATGTGCTCTACTGGAGCAATCCAAAATGGCCGCGAGTGGTACCGCCCACAAGAAAATTGTGAAAAACACAGCAAGTAAACTAGAGTGGACCAAAAAAATCCACCCCCCTCAGCATTGACACACATGTGGAACGGAGCTTTGGGCCAAGAGCCAACTTTTGGTCCATCCTGTAAAGACGTTTTTGAGAGGTCTGCCAATGCTATATGTTAGCATTGGGGCCCGGGGTGGTATTGCAAGCATGTCAGCGCACGTCATTTTGGCCACTTTTGAGCTGGGACCCTCCCCCACTGGTCCTGACTCTGGGCACCAGCAGAAGGCTAAATCCTGTGCTCCTCAGAGCTCATCAACCCTGACGCTCTTCCCTGTCCCTTCTAACTGCTTAAGAAAAACTGCCCGATGACATGATGCTGCCACCCCCATATTTAAGACTGTGGAGGCTGCTCTGAGGCTGATGTGTAGTAGTAGTGTTAACGAGAGGTTTTCCTCCATTTTTATGTCATATTATTCTTATTTATTATTATAAGCTTGTTTTTAGTCATCCTCTTATCTGTTATCCAGTCTCAGAGCTCCACCTTTCCCCCAGGACGAATGGTGACAGCTCATGGGGATCCTATCAATAAATAATAAAGCTGTTTATAGTTACATTCCTGCCAAACGCTGTTGCCTGAAGCATGATCTGTAACTGTAGGTGAACTTATCACATTGATGTCTTTCTCAGGACTTCTTCCAATTTGCTTCGGGACCTGGAGTAGACGGAATGCTGCGGAAAAGAGCGGAGAAGTTCAAAGCTCATTTGACCAAAAAGTTTCGATGGGACTTTGACGCCGACCTGGACGACTGCGCTCCTGTGGTTGTGGATCTGCCTGAAGGATTCACTGTCAACTGAGAGACTCACCAAACTCATATTGTATATTTGGTGGTGAAACATGTAACATTTGTTAAATAAAATAAAAACACTTTTTGTATACAGTATGTCTGTTTATGTAATGTGCATACACATTAAAATTAAAAGTAAAATTACTCAAATAATTATTTATACTGATATTTAGAGTTGTGCCAAAAAAAAATAATCTCACTTTTGGTTGATAATCCAAACTGGTATTTACTATCCATTTAACAGTATCATAAACTGCACAATCTGGCCTGGTTGTTCCGCAATTATTATTATTATTATCTTTTTTAATTTTACTTTGTTTTTATGTTTTTTTATTTTAGTCATCCTCTCTCTTTTAGTTTTTTTTTCCTCTGTATCATTGCTCTACTTAAACTGAAGTTTGGTGCAGTGCTTCTGCACCGATGTTGTAGAGGAGAATAACCCTCAGATTCAGCCCAAATAGTCAATCAGCTCAATTTGGATGTATTAGTATACAGTATACAAAAGAAAAAGCTTTTATGAGAACTCCTCTGTTGGAACACAACCACACTTTCCACAAAAGTGAGGTTTAAGTTTGATTTCTACTCTTGATTTCCTCTCTTCTAGTTTAACTGGACTTCTCCACTAGAGGGCGACAGCAAGCCATGACACGGCTCCTATATCCCTGCTGTATTAGCGTGTGGGGAAGTAGAATAGGCATGGCTTTTGGTTTAAAAACCGACTTTCATTTGGTTTTCCAGTTCCTATGACTAAAAGCAGCTGTAATAAACCTCTCTGATCGTTATGGCCACAATGAAAGCCCAACACATGCTTCAGTCATTATTCAGTCTATATGTGTTCGCAGAAAAGGAGAAAAACACTCGAACCACATGATTCGGCTGCAGGAACCTTTCAGAAGACCTTGAAAATAATTCTTGAGGACATGAATCGTTCCTAAGTTAATTTGGGTTCAACCTTTTCAATGCAAAATGTAAAGGGTTTAAAACTAATCCTTCCAGAGCAGTCCATTTGACAGCCTTTAGTTTTGGAAGTGTGATTACTGTAGATTTTTGGTCTTCCTGACTTTGTGACTTTTTTTTGTACATTTAATTTATTTATTTAGTCATTATTTCCATGAAACTCCATTTTATCTTTGATTTTGCATTTTTTGTTGCTTGGTAATCAACTTTCTATGGAAGATTAAGCTGTATTTCAATTCTAAAACTTATTCTTGGGAGCAGTCAAAATAATTTTTATTTTTATCCATCCATCCATCCATTTTCTTCCCTTTAATCCATTTCTGGGTCAGGGGGGTGGCAGTCAGAGATGCCACCCAAGTCTCATAGCACCAGCCCCTCACTGACCCTCTGCAGGTGGTGAGTCCACAGGAGGACGGCTGCTCTCTGAGTGTGAGCATAGCCTTGATCTTTCAGTGGGGGCTTTGGGCAAAGTGGGGTTAAGTGTCTTGCCCAAGGACACAACGACAGCAGAGTCTGTGGAGAAGGTGTAGAGGTGGGAATTGAACCCACAACCTTCTGGCCTTAAGGCCAATGCTCTACCAACTGAGCTACTGTCGCCCGCCATTTTTATTTTTATGGCACACAAAATAATTCAAATATGCAGGTCAATAGATTTACCTGCAAATCAGGTAAATCTCTCATCTGCTTCTTACCATACCAGGCGCAGTGCAGGCTGTAGCCACATTCAGGAACTAACATGGAAGTTCACAAAAGTGTAAGTCACATTTTCCTCACGTGTAATCGCTCTGACAGTGATGGATGGAGCAGCCCTGACTCCTGTCTTCTGCTCCATCAGATGATCTATTTCTGTTATTTTTGAAGCATATTATTTCCAGCTCAACTCTGACTACTCCCAGTTTGTAGAGACTGCTTCATAGAATTGTGCGGACAGACTCAGGGTGAATTTCAAGAATTTACAATACTCAATCAATTCAATTAGATTTATTTTTGTATGAATCACAACAGTTGTCGTCTCTGAGTTTACAAAGTAGTCGATTCTCCAACAACAAATCAGAGAATCAAACAGTTCCAACCCAGGATGCAATGATGACAAACACAAAGGAGCCAAGTCCATAAGGGGCGAGTTTTGAGTGAGAGAGTTCACAAATGAGCAAATTCTGTCATTATAATTTTAATTGTATGTTGGTGGTCATATCTGCACGTGAAAGCCTGAATCCGTTACACAATAAAAGTTAAGCAGGACAGGACCTGGTTAGTACTGTGATGGGAGACCTCTGGGAGCACCAGGTTCTATGGGGCAACTGTGGCTGTAAAGTGCCAAACTGGTGTGTCCTTGGGCAAGACACTTAACCCATATAATCTATTGGCAGTTTACCACCAACTGGGGGGTATTGTATTAGTGTGTGTTGGTCTGTTTGTCTGTAGGCAGGAATGCACAAAAACTCCGGTACAAATTAAGTAGACATTTGGTGTGCAGATGGGTCGTAATGGTAGAAGACCCAGGTAAGATTTTGAGTACCTATTCGGGTTTGGAAATGACTCTTTCAAAAGTGATTATTTTCTCAGAATATGTAGTTAAAACCAACTCGGGCTCTGAGGAGCACAGGGACTGGACTTCTGTTAGTGCCAAGAGTCGGAACTAGACATGGGGAGGCTGCGTTTCAGATTCATGCAGCTAGAGTCTGGAACCGTCTTCCCGAGAGTGTGAGACAGGCGTCTACTCTAGCAGTTTTTAAAACTGAACTGAAAACAGTTCTTTTTAGCTGTGCATACAAGTGAATGATTTTACATTTGTTTTTTATCTTTAATCTTTTTAATGCGCTATGATTATTTATGATTATTTATGATTGTAATCCCTTGTGTGATTTTAATTTTTTACGGTTTTTAACTACTTGTGTAATTTTATATATCTTGTGCTCTTAATCTGTCTTTTTATGTTTACTTAAATTCTAATGTTTGATGATTTATGCATGATGTTATATGGGTTGTGAGGCGCTTTGCGTTGCCTTGTGTAGGAAAGGCGCTCTATAAATAAACGTTGATTGATTGATTGATTGATTAAAATTGTACCTATCCCACGTCTTTGCCTTTAGTGTGTAATGTTAGTAGTGTACAATATTTTACTCAAACAACAAAGGTATTATTTTGAAACAGAGCCCATTAACATTGATTCTTTCCTCTTAAACCAGATGCTTAAAAGCATAGGCTTTATAAAAAGAACTCTTTTGAAAGATCTACTCTGATCTCAGGAGAAGATCAATGCTGCCTGTGGTTCAGACCAGGACCAGAGGGACCAGCGGCCTTTTGCTCTTTTGCCTTTGAATGCTTTGACGAGAGAGAGAGGCCTGGGACACACGGTGGAGACACATCAGCGGAACAGGAAATGTACCCCAATTATGTGGAGACAATCTGGGATAAAGCACAGTTACAGACGAGGTATTTTCTGATCAAATTAATGCTAATCACAAATCAACCGTTGGGACCTTACAAAGATTCTCAACAGTATAAGAGTTAATTTATGTAATTCGTCAAATACTTATTATTATTTCTCGAGCTACAATCTTCAACATATTTGGCTATTGGCGGTAAATCTGAAAGGATTGGCTCACAAAGAGGTAATAATTTATTTGTATGGTACTAAAATAGATCTGGCTTTTCATAAAACTACTCTCAAGTGTCTTTCTACTCGCACTAACCGTTTTTTGCAAATTCACTTTTCAGTAGGACTCAAATAGACTACTACTTTTTAACAAATTCATTCAATACATAATCTCTTCTGCACAGACCACAAATGACCATTCAGAACGTTTTACAGCCCTAGGGAGCAGGTATCTTTTCCCAGACCGGGCATGGCAACCTCAGGACAATTTTTAGTGGCCTCTAAAATTATTTTCAATTATTAGGAAAACAATCTGACAATATATCATTCTGACATTTAAACCCAACACATCATTAGAAGTTAAACAATTAAATATAACTAAAATGTGTTCAATTTCATATCTGGTCTAGTTTTGGTTAAATCCAATCAAACACAGAAAAAAAAAACAGCCAAAATATGATAGTGAAACTCATTAATGTTGAAATACCAGAAAAAAAAAAAAAAAACAATTATAAGAAAAGCAAATCTCTTTTATTCTTTCAGCCTCCGATTGTTTCCTATAATTTTCATTTGGCCCTGTAACCTCAGCCTTTTCATCTCAGTTATTCAGCACTTAGCTTTAGTTTGATCCATTTTTACTAGACTGTTATTTTGCTTTGACCCTCTCTGTTCTCTCTGGAGTCATATCTCTTGCCTGGTCATCTCTCTTTGACGTCTGGGGTTGCATGCTGACTGGTAGCGCAGAATCCCAGTCTTCAGTCACTTCAGTCTGAGTGATGGTGTGAGCCTCTGTCCATAGATGGAGCGAAGGCAGAGCTGCAGCGCTAACACAGGCCTCTCTATTCTGCCCCGGGTCACAGCTGCGAGCTCCAGCAGCAGCAGGGATCGTGACCCGGCCGTGTCCTGACTCTGCTTTATATTAAACATTGCAGACTGAACAAATCTGAACTTTGATTTTTTGTCTGCAGACGAGGCATATCCAATATTGTCTCAACTCAACAGCAGACATGACGCACCAGGAAAACTGACTACACACACTGTAAAAGTTCTGGTGTGAATCACGGTCGGAAAATGTCCCAGTTAATGACACAAAAATAGTTAAATTAGAATATAATGTTTGATCTTTGACTCTTTGGATCAAGATTATTACTGTATTTTACACTCTCATTCCACTTTTGTTACTTAAAATAATTACTAATTATTCTTATTTTGTATAGTTATTTTATATATAATGTAAAAAAAATTGTATAGTTACTGTTGCTGTTTAGTATAGTTATTGGCTTGCCTTAGGACACAACATCAGTTTGGCGTTTTACAGCCGCTGCCTCACTGTGGCACCTTGAGTCTCCACAGGTCTCCCATCACAGCCCTCTCCTGCTTAGCTACAGAAGTTTGATAGGATCAGGCTTGTACATGCAGGTATGGTAAGTTTTTCTACAAAATATTTTGTGTGT